ATATATATATATATATATATATGTATATATGTATCTGTGTGAGAGAGAGACAGACAGACAGACAGAGAGCGAGAGAGAGAGCTATCTCTCTCTCGCACACACACACACACACACACATATATATATATATATATATATATATATATATATATATATATATATATATATATATATATATATATATATATATATATATATATATATATATATATATATATATATATAGAATAAATAAATTGTGTGTTCTTATGTTGAAGAATTTGTTGGCTAAATATTTTTAGAAAATTCTCTGTTTTGTAGGGTTTATTTGCATTTCCTTTTATCATATATATATATTTATACTAATTAAAAAGTAAAAATGAATGTGGTGTCGGTACAAATCTAAAAATATAACTACTAAAAAAATATGTAAAGAGCAATTTGATCATCTGTCTCGCTCCTTTTTTTTTTAGTATAAAATATCTATTTCACGTCCAAATTCTCTAATTATATTGTCCATTATATTTCAATCTATTTTTAGTGTAATTTCTACAATTAAGCTGTCTATTTTTAGTTTATACCGTCGAACTAAGTTGCCCGATGGACTTTTAACAAATTCAAGATATTCATTGTTAGCTAAGAAAAGCATTTAAAGGGTATTCTCGTCAATTTTCCAAAAAAAAGAAAAAAACATATAGAAATAGTAATGCAATTGTGGGGTTGTGGTGGTACAAGCATGCAGTACTAGTAATAACACATATATTTAATATAATTTAATTTAAACGGACCCAGTCACGTGTTATGTTGTTTAGTTTGTACGTACCCAAAATATATGGATGTAAGTGAATTGAATCCGCTCGATATATATATATATATATGAATTTTTTAAATTTATTTAATTTAAACTTTATATATGCTTTAACTTCATTGACCATAAAATCAAGTCGACGTCGAACACTTTAGCACAATTGGAGCTCTGTGAAATAGCAGCCATACTTGTGGACAATTGCAATAAAAAAAAAAAAAAATTAATAATTATTTTATCTGGATTTGTTGGACTTTTCTGTTTTTTGATGCTAATTGAGCGGTAATTAGGATTTGCACATTAATCTATTTCATGTTGCTAATTAACTATATTTAATTATTTCTATATGTTCAATTAAAAAAAATTATGTCTATATGTTGAATGCTTTATAGTTTCCCTCCATGTTCAATCATGTCTTTTACACGCTTTTATTTTATTTTATTTATTTTTTAAATAATAATATAATATTTCTTTTCTAGGATGTGTACGGTATTTAAGATTATACTCTTATCATTTTAAATTATACTCCATCCATTCATAAATAAGTGTCTCTTTTCACTTTTCACAAAGATTAAGAAACTCAATAAATATATCTTGATTTTAGAAAAATCATATAGAAATGACTAAAACAACATTTATTATTTAATGATTTATAAGAGAAAGATAATAATTAGAGTTTTATTAATAAGGTTAAAACAGGAAAAATGCATTTAATGCAGTATTGGAAATCTAAAGTGACAGATAATATGGAACAATTTTTTTTAAAAAGAGACAGTTATTATGGAACAGAGGGAGTATGTAACTTTTGATTTCTTGAATAGTAATTTTTTTTTTTGTTTTATTAATCCAATCTATAAAGCATTAATTATCTTCTATCAATTCATTTAATGACAAAGATTATATTAATTCTCCCTAAGTGTGTTTTTCTAAAATCAAACCATGTTTAATAATTTTTTTTAATATGTATCAAAAAACTTTAAACCATAAATATTATGAAACACCAGATTTAATTAATAATATTTTGTAATATGTGTGAAAAATCTAGAGGCGGGGTAAAATGGTACGCCCATATCTTGGTGTTTTATTTTTATTTTTTGACAAACATATGTTGGATTAAAGTGTAGTTAATATCATGGGGACTCAATAGGGACTATTCATGCATGATTCAAATCACCTAGTGGTGCAAGTTGGAATGAAAATTCTATTTTTTGTGGTTTTATTCGAAAAGTTTTGATTTTGAAATAACTCTTTTTATTCGGACTTTCGAAATTTTGATTTTGATTTTTTTGATTTTTTATTGGAATTGGAGTTATATAAAAGAAATTGGAATTCCCGATTTTCGATCCAATTTAATTTTTGAAATTAATTCCGAGAATTTCCATTTTTCCCCCAAAAATACACATATAAAAAATATATAATATATAATACTTATTTTAAGATTTTGTTCTGTTTTTTGAAACAGTAATTTGATTTAAGTTTTGTTTTAGGATTTTGACATATTGAATTGTTGTTAGAAGTTTTATGGGATATTATAACGTGGTTTATTTTTATTTATTTTTTTGGACAGAAATTTAGTAGTTGTTAATTTTGCTTTTATCGACGTGGATGTTCTTATGTTTGGAAAATTATGAAATTTCATAAAATTCATGTTAAGTTTTGAACTTTTAAAACTCATGTGATTTCCGATTTTTTTTCACGAAATTCCGATTTTTCCGGCACTTTTGAATTGATATAATTTTTGGATTCTGAAAATTTTGGATTTGAAATTGAAATTGCTTTTACATTTCCGAATTTTTTGCAGTTTTTCTGAAAAGCTAGTTTCAATCTTATCCATCCAACATTCACCCTTAATATCACCTACATGCATGATTTTGACAAATCAATCCATAACCAACCATATAGGTATACTTGGTAAAATCATGTTTATGCAATATTACTCAAATCATATATGATGGATATACATAATATCGAGTAAACTATACATGTGGTACGAGTTTAACCTAGAAAATATTGATACAAAAGATACAACGAGCTCTGTGAATAATGTGTTGGTTATGAAGTGCCGAACCAAGAATTATATTTATCATTAGGGGCCGAATATACATAAATAAGTTTAAATAAAAAATAACATAAATAAATCATGATAATAATGATTGTTTCACGAGTGGTGAGCCTAGGATATTATTAGAAGATGAGCTTAAATTTTATGGTGTTCGGGGCAGCGCCCTGAAAATAAATATGACTTTTTTTTTCTTTTTGAAAAAATCAGAAGATGAAAAAATAAATAGGACATTTTTTTGCATTAATTTGGATTTTAAGTTAGCTAAATAATAAAAATTTGGTGGACATAATAAAAATATAGGTGTAATCTAGTGTAAAAAAAATTCAATTGAGGATGGATCTAATTCCATCATTGACCAAGAATGGATTCACTCCTTGTCACAATTCGTAACTTTCTTTATCTGTTTTCCAGACTTGTTTTTATTTTATTTCCTTCAAATATGTATCTTAAATCTTAATTATATTTTTTATATAAAATTTGTCGATAAAAATTATGGAAACACAATACAAAGACAATAAATTAAATTATATATACATAATTATACACCGCTTTTCTTGTTCCAACTAAATTTATACCATCCTATGTTTGGTGAAATACATCATGTATAATATATACACACTGCACACAAACATATACTCGCATTATATTTGTGTGTTTAGATTGAAGGTAAAATTCTAGTCGATATAACTTTTATTGGGTGTAGTATCGAACGGACCCTCGATCTATAAGCTACATTTGCACATAAATATGCGGTAATAACCTAAGCCACGTACAAATGTCATTGAAGTATATATAGTATTATTCACTTTGGAAATTTGTGCAAATATCTGAAAATAAGGCCTCAATCGCCACGAAGTTTCTAATTCTTTCTTTTTTTTTCTAGTTTATTAACTAGTTACAATGAATACATTATAAAATTTCAGGTGGATGGTGTGCATTTGTTACTTATTTTGTAGTCTTATTTCTAAATTCATCCAACCATACCTATCATTTTGTTTTTTTGAGAAACCATAAATATCATTATTATCTTATGAATTCTTTGAAGGGGTCATTAGCAATACACCCCTCCTATAGATAAAAACTAGTGATAAACCCATACATAATCCTTTCTTTGTGAAAACCCCCTAGAATATTTAATTCCATTTTTACCCTTCTAGTAAGTCACGTTTATTTTTTTATATTTATCCAATATTTTCAAATCCCTATTAATTAGCCACCTAATCCTACTAATTAGGTTTAATTATTTACTTTCCCTAATAAAACTTCTCCTAACTAGAACAATTAAAAAAACAAAAAAACCGCATCATCGTCTTCAATAACACACAGAGATTTGGTTTTCCCCCAAATCAAAACCGTCAAAAAAATCGAAATCCTCTCTTCCAATCTGCAGTCACATTCAAAAATCGGATATATTTGGTACCAAATCGTCCACACACTTTACCCATTAATAGTCGTATTCTGCAGTAGTTGTGTTTGGTAGTCATAAACCAGTGAAGTTGAGTTGCGTAGTCACAATCGAGTCTGGTTTCTGAAATGAAGAAGAAAGCGTCACAGAAGCGTAAACGAAGACCCAATCCTCATGACATTATGCATCTTGATGCCGGTAAGTTTGTCCACCTAATTCTTATTTATTTGCAAATCATTTTTTGTACAAACTGGAAATTCCAAAAAATATTTTTTTTTGCCCGTAGATCCAATTTAATTTCACTTTAGGTGTTTTTGGGGGGTGATTTATGGTTGCATACACAGACTTTTTGGGTGTTGCATTTATGTTACCATCATGACTATATGTGACTATATTACATAGACATTGAATTCATGGTTGTTCCGATTTTATTGAATCGTAATATTATGAACATATGCTCAAATTGCAGTTCCAACCACTGATAATATTGATATTAATTGTTAACTTTTGCAGTAGAAATATGCTCTGGTTTGATTGTGTTATAACAATGTGTAACTAAATTGGTGTATTGTTATAGTATTGTTATGTAGTCATGTTG